CTTCATTTGAGAGTGAAGTTGAATTTATTGATAGCTTTAGAAATGTAAAGATGAAGTGACGCAGAAATATCTTATTGGAATGAAGATAATAATACAATTAAGTTACTGAGCACATTCACAACTTAAGACAAGTAAATAAATGTTTTTTTTATCCGTATACCAGTACGAACGTAGTCACTCATATGTTGTAATGCAACCCACACGCGTCGGTGTATGTATCACTACACGCACAAGGTATAACTGCACGAGAATGACTCATTATCGAGTGATAATGACAATGACCTCAAAAAAGGTTATTTAATCAGTTACACTTGATGCTCGGACGTACGTACATACGTACGTATGTAAGTATGTACGTATGTTACACTAATTGTGTTGTAATGCACACAGAGGTGTGTTGGGAATATAGCTACTCCTCATTTTTACACACGCTGTTACATCTGTTGTACTTATGTCACATGTTAAAACCAGGTTCAACGGTTTTAATTGTTTAAATGTCTTATGTACAAGTATACAAACCGAGAATATACAAAATAAACAACAAATTGTTCAGTACGATGAACTTATTTATTATTCTATATGGGATATGAAATGTAATTCATTTGTCTTGACTATGTATCCCGTTATCGCAATTGTCCTAAACGTTTCAACACAATTAAATCTTAAGTCGAATTAAGTACAAGTTAAGTTGTATGCTACTCTAAAATATGCTTTTCTCTTTTTCTATCTAATGTTTTGCCAAAAGCTGCTATAATTTGGATATACATCTTTTTAAGAAATGCTAACTTTATCTACTCTTTATGTAAATAAGTAAGCACGATATTTACATATTGTAAGATGATGTAAAGGTTCACAGCTTACAAATATAAAACATTCAACATGTACTTGTATGCATAACAGGTAATAAAAATTAATGTTTTTATAAAAAATATATGACACGTACCATTACAATTCAAAACCAATAGTTATCTTTAAGTAATTAGTAATTAATGATAACTTACCTGTCAAAGTGGTGAAATTATATTATGATATACTATCAATCGGTCTGTTGCGATCCTACTTGATATTGCTAACATTCCCATAAGCTAGATCTTATTTATCTGTGATCATATTCATATGCGTATAAAGAGACCGGGTTTTTTTTTGTGTATAAATAGACCGGTTTTCCTAATTCTCAATATAGCATTAAAGGGGCTGGTCGGGGAAACAATTACACAATAAATGGGTCTAAATGCGTTCTCTGGTCTTTCAAAAGCTATAGGGGCAATATGAGGGTCGAGTTCTGCTTGCAATGTGCAGTTTTGACCACTGAAATCTCAGGGAAGCCCCGCGTACATTTAGCGTAGATCTATTAATATATGTCACGTGGTTGTTTCGAAAGCGAGGCAGTGAAGATATCAGCAATTCCGTCTTTGCGTATTGCAGAGTTATCTTCTCTTGTGAGCAGGGATTAATTGTTACGTCATTTGTTTGTGAGAGTAACGTCATCAATTTTTGAGAAAACGACGTAATTTTCTCACACAAACCAATGACGTAGATAACTCTGCAATACGCAAAGACGGAGGCACGCCATCTATCCGTCATGTCGGACTCAACTAGCGGACAAGACAGCAATATTATACGTAAATAATTGTTTTCAAAGGTCATGTATGATGCAATTGTAGTATTCCTACCTATATGTTGTTGTTATATATAACAGTATTGATGATAATGTCAATAAACGTGGAAATCACTGCAAATCTCCGTCCAATGCAGTGATGGGGTCCCATGAGGGGTAATCTAAATCCCGTCATCAATGTCATCGTTTCATTTGTAAAGTTGTATTTACTATTTTGAAGCAACAGTAGCATATCGTTAATGAAAACACAACAAGTGTTTGCCTGGGACTGTCGGGAATACTAATTAAATAATTAAAACGGCCAAAAGACGTATCTAGACCAAACGTGAAGGGAAGAAAACGTTTCAACTTTAAGTAAACAGGCATATTGACCCTGTGTCATTGAAACTTTGATAAATAGGCCTATCAATTGATTATAGACGTGTTTATTACGCACATAACTTTTTAGATCCAGTTTTAATCTATTCTACACTTACTGTGATATAAAGAAAGCAGAATGTTTGAATGTACACATACTAATTTCCCTACAATATTTAAATTATGCAGTCATAAACCACATAATTATATCATATATATAAAATGATTGCATACATATTCTGTGATTTGAAAAATCCCTCAGTTATCAAAAATGCGAATACAAATTAATACAGGTCGGTTAAAAATAACAGAATCACTGCAAGACACATGGCTCTAAACTTGGATGTTATAGATGAAGATAGAACAAGGGGTAATTACACGACCAAAGGTGAAGGTTACAGAGGTCAATTTTGTTGAAGCAGAGTTGGTTGGAATCCATCAAGGAATAACATGGCCACATTTAAATATCACCAGTTAAATTTCAAAGTCACATTTATAATCAAACTTGCTGTATACATGTATTTATATAATATACTTTCATCTTTTATCATTAATATGTAGTTACCAATAAAAGTTGGAATATAATAACTGGCGTATTGGGCCTTCCAAAACCTCTCGTCTTAAATGACCTCACTCAACGAGGAGTTTAGACAAAGAACAAGTTACTAGTCTTTCTGTATACAAGTCTCAATTTTAGACAAATATTGTCGGTTACCGTTTCTTTGTTGTGTCTACTGGTCTTTTGAAAGGAGTCGAGAAACTCAAAATGCTTTAAAAAAAAATCCAAATATTTATTGTTCCAGATTTAAATTTACAATTGAAAGCTGCCAGGGTTGGGGCCCTGGTTCAGCTTCTTTACAATAAATGTCCTCTCGCAGGAGGGCTCTCGTACACCATACTTCGAGTCTCAGACAATCATTAGTTCATACATTCATTCATATTTTGTTTTTACATGATATATTCATCCATCTCATTGCTGAAGTTCAATCACACATTCATTATTTCATTCAAACAACCATTTGCTCATGTGTTATAATTATAAATGAGTATCGAGGGAAGTCTTAATCAATATTTCTGTCATCTCTCTTCATTTTAAAGTCGCCCCACTTACAACCTTCATGCATGGTATTTTGGTGTAAAGTGTAGTCCTGTACATCAATACTTTTTGTATGTTTTTGGTTTGATAGCTACTCCATTGAATATTACCAATATAAACTTCGGAGTCTGATGCATTTTTTCCACACCAGATATATCAGATGAGTGAGACGACTGAGCTCTGCAATATGAAAATAAAAGAAGAATTATTATTTATCAGAATATATGGCTATGCATGTAAGATTCAGAGAATAAATTGCATCAATATGTTTTAGGCAATCTTGTGAATCTACTGTAGTACATAATTATGTAATAATCATAACCAAATATAAAATATGTTTAGCGCCCTATCCTACCCTGTATCTGGGCCCTCTGGGGCCAACTGATGAATCTGCATGCAAGTCAGAAATTTTTGTTGGGAACCATAACGTTTCTGAAAATAATGAAATACTGTAACATGGTTGGACCCGCTAGTTTTACCAAAACTGGAAACGATACACACAAAATAAATGTAGATTCATCATTGGGCAGATAGAATGTTTGAAAAAAAGAAAAAGAAAAACTAGAAACATGAATGCTGCCTTTCCCCAGCTTTATTTTCAGTAGACCTTTTCTCAAATGTTGCGAAGTACAAATTATGTGTTTTTTAACCCAAAAATGTCAGAAAATTGAAGCTTCACCCAACCTGATGTCATATTTGTTTTGCATTATCCATTATAATACATAATTTCAAGTTTCTTTTGCCTACCACTTGTACTTTTCTAGATTTACCCTAAATTACAGAAAATCTTTAACCAGCAGACGGACACACAGGCGAAATGGGGTAAAGCAGTATGCCCAGACAAAGTCGTACTGGGCATATGATTAAAACTGGTCTAATGCAAAATACAACTATAATTTTTGACCCAAGATCTCATGGCAATGTTTTCATTTTCTTATAATTTACCATCTGTATACATACATACAGTACACATTTCACAAGTGTAACTAGCTAAGCCTATCATACATGTGATGTATACATAATTTATATTACGACAATTTATGTGTCACATTGTGGGTGATAAAGTACCAGGTAAGGCGATGGCTACACCATGTATTTCTTGTGTCACTGAAGCATATCTAAAACATGGAAAAAAAATAGAATTATTTGAAAATTATAATATTCTCCCAATATCTTTTTTTATCACAATTTAAGAAATGTCATTGAAAAATTACTGAATTTCAGGATACCCCCACCAGTGATGGATGTAATATTAGCTATAGGAGTCACATGTACACTCTCCTTGACCCTGGACCAATAAAGGGTGGATTGCTAAAACAGTTCACCATGAATCATGTTAGCAATGAGAAATATTTAAATACAAGAAGAAGGGGTTATAATATTTGATTTTATATTTACTGTAAACAGAATGCAGGTACGTACCGTCTATGACTATAATATCAGACATTTTTTCAAAGAAATCAACCAGCAAACACCCCCATAACCCCTTCCAGCGACTTTTGTAGGAATTTTCTAACTGGAAATATTTATTTTTGCATTAGTATATAACAAACTTCATCTTCATCTTCAGACCTTCCTTCTTCAATATCGTCAATATAAACAAAGTTCTATGAATTCAGGATCCATGAACATTATTAAATAATTCACATGTACAGTAGATTTGGTTGTAATCACTATCAGCAAAGTATAATCTGTATTTTCATGCAGTTAATTTTGTTCTTCATTACATATACATTTAGCTCTAACATTTTAGATGTAGGAGAATTATAAATAAAATTTACTCGTCTGATAGGCCTTACAATTTACTAATTGATGTTATAAAACTCTTATTTTATATCATAACACTGAAAATAAAGATAATCAAAGTACTGAAAGTACTCCAGACACATGCTTTCTTGATGTTGCAATATTTCCATAGTTATAGCGATTTCCGCCGTGACGTCACAAAGTCACGTGACTTCCGACTGGTTGGCAAGACAATCGGGAACCGTCGGCAAGAATGTTGTTTACATAGGCCTATGTCAGATCGATCATAACCTGTTTTCCGTTTAATTACGATGGTTGTGTCCTGTTGTGTTATCAACTGCACTACAAGATTTGATAATAATAACCCAAAAAGCTTTTATCGTGTACCAAAAAAACCTGACATACGCAGACAACTTTGGATAACAGCTATTAAGCGTGAAGGCCCAGAAGGGAAGCCATGGGTGCCTGCAGATCATGATAGAGTGTGTTACCGACATTTCATTACAGGTAAGATATTTTTCTTTATACATTTATATAAAGATTTATTGATATGTCAATTGTCCTGAAATTAATTAATATCGGTTACACATTTGAACGTGGAAGCAGGTTATTTGGAAAAAAGGGGGAGCAAGCTGTTTCACTTTCAATCTCATTAACATGATGAAGTAAAGCAATTTAACAGTTATCTTTAAAACTTAAAGTCATTTTATTGTTCTCTGAATGTTTTATTGAATTATTATTCAAGTTAACATATGACATTTAAAACTCCAGCAGAGGATGTCTATACTCTTTATTTTTAATAGTCACAGTACTTTCCTGGTGCACTTGTTGTTTTGTTCATTTTTTATCATTTAATTTGGACCAAGCCGCATTGACTGTGATGTATGATTTCATGTTTTGTTAATCAACGTTTAATATGTGCAGTTTTCATTTCAGGTCAAAAAAGCAATGACAAGACTAATCCTGACTATGTCCCCTCAATCCACATGGGGGGATATGAGAAAACAACCACCAATGGAGAGTTGCGTGCAGCCCGCTTCGAGAGGTTTCAAAAGAGAGAGGCAGAAAAAGATAAATATGAGGCAGCAACAGTATTACTTGACATATCAGAAAACCTACCACCACCAACAGAGCCAACAGAAGGTAATTTATTGTTTCATGTTGCAAAATAAAGTCGGTCTTACAGCCTATTAAAATCTGGATTAATTTAATCATAGTTTATAAAACAGTATGGTAAGTGTATTGTAATTAATGAGTAAGTGCATTAAAATTGTGATTTACTATTAGTATTACTATTTACAGTGCAACAATACTTCTATATATTGTGTTTGTATATTTGAAGTTTTGTTAATGTCATTCATTCATTGTTATTTATTTGATTTTTAATTTTTCAGATTTACATGGTCCATGCATCAAGAAAATAGCAGCCCTTCGCATAGAAAATGAGCAACTCCATGAAGAGCTTGGCAGGTTACAAACAGACAATATTGCTCTCAGAAAAGAAGTCAATGATACAAGATTTGGTGATCAAGCAATATCAAGTGACCGTAGAACACTTTTTTACACAGGTGTGCCAACTAAAGCAATTTTCATGTGGTTGATATCATTCTGTCTGACAATATTACCACCTAGCAAAGTAATGCCTCCGGCAAATATTTTCCTGTGTATTCTGATGAAGTTGAGACTCAACCTTCAACACCAAGATATAGCTTATCGGTTCAATGTGTCCGTTTCCACTGTATCGGATATATTTAATAAAGGCATCCCAAAGCTAGCTGAAAAACTTTCGTTTCTAGTGCAGTGGCCAGATAAAGACAATCTAATTAAGAATATGCCAGTTGTTTTTAAACTTTCATATCCAATGTGTATCAGCATAATAGACTGTTTTGAGGTGTTCATACAAAGACCAGCTAATTTAACAGCAAGGGCACAAACATGGTCCAACTATAAGCATCACAACACCATAAAGTTTTTAGTGTCATTAACACCTACTGGTGCGATATCCTTTGTTTCAAAAGCGTTTGGAGGTCGAACATCAGACAAAGTAATTACTCAGCGTAGTGGTTTCTTGGATAAATTGGAACAGGGAGACCAAGTCCTTGCTGACCGAGGGTTTTTAATTGCAGAGGAGTTAGCCACTCGTCATGCCTCATTGGTAATACCTGCTTTCACCAGAGGTAAATCACAACTCAGTGCAAAAGAAGTTGAACAGACAAGAAGAATTGCGCATGTGCGCATTCATGTGGAGAGGGCAATTGAACAGTTAAAAAACTTTAACATTTTAAGTAGCAAAATGAGTATCTATTTAGTGTCACATTCAGACAGTATTGTTACATTATGTTCAGCAGTGTGCAATTTACATCCTAAACTTGTGTCTTGATTTTCTGTTTGTATATTACAAATAATGAAGAAGTATAATACATATATACACATTTATTTCAATCAATTATTGTTTTTTGAACAGTACATGTATAAATGAAAACAATTTTCACAACTATCAAATTAATAGTAACATAGTACATGTATGAAATTATAAAGAATTGGCAAAATAAAATAACAATACTGATTACATGTACATTGGAAAAGGTTTTTTTAGCAACAAATGTGTTCTTTAATTAGTGCTTTCATTATACTGATCTATCATCATGATTATGGTACAAATTGCTAGTGCCTAATTTAAATGAATATATTCATGTATACATAGTTGCCAAATACAGTAAATTTGTGTGTTTCAACCATTTATTGTGTATGAAAATGTCATATGTGAACCATTATGGATTAATAAATGAAATTATTTATTATTTGACTTTAGCTTTCTTGATGAGTATTAACACCATATAACATGCAAGAAGTAATGGTACTCAAAAACACAAAATGTATCAGTTACAACAGTTGAAATCAATGTTACACCACACTGTCACATTTACACAATGTTCATGGAAAAGTCTAGTCACTGCAGCTCAAACAAAACCACTTTCCCTTCGGCTGGCGTCTGATATTAACGCACTTGTACTGAAACCACTGATATGGACACTCTGAAATATCACACTTGATCATTCTACCATATTCAGGTTCAGCACATATACACCATGTCTCTCTTTCATTGTTGTTTTCTTCTGGCGGTTGTGATGCGACTTGCTGCTGGTTTTCCAATAGTCTGGTGATTAACTCCCTTATTACATAGGATGTTACAAAAAGTTCACATTTGCTGATTAATGCAGAGCAAAAGGTCACATCAATGGGCACTCTAACTATAACCATACTTGTGAAGGCTTACACTTAGTATAAACAATGAAGTCACAAAATGTCAGTTGTAGAATGAACATCTGGATTGAACCTGTGTATAATATCGGTGGCTGGTCTTCAGGTGTAGAGACTTGTCCAAACAAAAGTCTTTGTCAGATGCTGCAGCTTGCGGCACAGTAACGTCCTTATGCTTGTATGGGCACTTTATCTCAATCAGTCCTTTACCACAACACTGGCAGTTGGTAATACCATCTGGACTGGCTCCCAAGAAAGAGTGGTTGTTGTTGATGACGAAACCAGATAAATTGCATTCAAAGTCTAGATGCTGTGTTGTTTGGTTGGTGATGTAGGCTTGCCTGCATTCTTCCTCATGGTCGATTCCCCACTTGACAGCAGCCTTTTTGGACAGGTCATATGACGAATAGCCAACAATACGTTTAACTAAAATGTCAGGTGATGTTGTGTCTTTGCGTGTCCAAACGTCATGGGCTTTTAGATGCTGTAACACGGCCCATCCTGTGTTGAAACCATAATGGGGTGATGGCTTGGTTCCTTGTTGCGGCTTCCAAATTGGTAGCTTGGTAGTCGGAACATGAGTAACTGGCAAAGATATCTTGGCAATGATTGTCAATGTTGTTGTTATCAATGTCTGGATCTTGTAGTGATTGTAAAAGCTTTGGGTATTTTTCTGTGGTAGTTTTTACTGGTTGACTTTCTACAATCTGTGAGGGTGCTGTCACGGAAGTAAAAAATGCAGCATTTGGTACCAGAGCATACAGTTCATCAAGGACTTCAGGTTGTGGAAGGATAGATGATCCATCAGCTTGGACTGAGACAACCTCCTTGATTCTTTTGCCTTTAATTTTGTCACAAATCTCTGTCACTGTAGCAGGTATCACCTGAAAGATTAAAATAAATGATAAGTATTTAAAGATTGAATAAAGTTCAAAAATGATAATACCTTTTCCGTTAAATTAACTTTATAGCTTACTATACAGTGTGAGCAAAGTCTTGGTGTTTAAGGCAATCATACCACATCTTGGTTGTTATATATAAGTTTATATATAACTTTTTAAATTGTAATTACACCATATCAAACAAATACCTCTTTTCTGAATGTACTATTCCACTGGCATGCCTTGCTTGTCAAGCTTGTTAATATAAGCCCCATTTTAACTCCCATTTCCACCTTGAACAGAAGGGCACCAATATGGCTGCATACTTCACCCAACCTGCAAAGCAAACATAAATAATTTATATATGACTTGTAGCATAAAGACTTTTTTAATATATTCAAGCCTAATTAAGAACCTTACTTTGAACAATTGTTCACATATATATATATTTAATATTAAATAAAAAATATTTTAAATTAAACTTACCCTGCCATACATGTACAGTGTGCACAATACACTGATGCACTGGCTTTATCTAAGTAGACCCATGGTTGATGAGGCTTGTCCCTGGCAGGGTGGGATGGTGTCACTTTGGCTTTAAAGGCAACAAAGGGCGAGTCGTCAGATACTTGATGTGAAAGCACAACCTACACATGTCCACTAACAACATAACTGAAAAAACAAATATTAGCATATATGTTTAATCAATAATATGTACTTTTAATATATTGATTGTGAATGTTTGGAATACCCCTACAATGTTTGATTGTAGATCTCTTTTTTTTGTTCTTATTCTCATCACGACTTTGTATCATCTTGTAACAAAGATTCACATTTATTATGATTAAAGTTAGTTATTTGTATTTCATTCGAAGAATTACCTGTACAGGTAAGCCATATAGTAAAATACCATATATGGATATCACGTGATATGGATATCACGTGGTGTAAACAATGCCATTCAATATGCAAATGTTTACCTGTGATTTTTTTATAGTAATTACAGGTAAACAGGTAAACATTACCGATACAAGCTTTTTAAATGAAAATTAAACTGATTCATGTGCAAACAATACTTACTTGTATGCCTCTTATGACTTGTAGGCTTTCATCGAGTCTTTTGTGAAGATAAAAGGTGTGTCAATCAGATAAACATAAATATCGCCGAAGGTCAAATCAGGCCAGGTGCTTGGGTTGGTGCTCCATTTGTCGGTCAAAACATAAGGATCTGGTAATGATTCTGTACCTAAACCATTTAAAAGCTTAGTCTGGTATATCTGCTTAGCTTCTGGTGATAAGGAGTTGACATACGACGAGTATATTTGCTCAGGTGTGGTAGAAGATGATTGGTCAGCCATTACGATGTTTGGTCAGGCATTACGATTTTATTAATGGTTCTTGCAAACCAATTTCATGCGCATGACAAAAATTGCGTCACTTCCTGTTTAGTCGAAAATTCCTATATACATGTACGTGTATATAACATTTTAGGAAAAAACGACCACAAAACAGTCAGTTGAGACACAGGATAAACATCATTTAAATTTCCTGAAAATAATGTGAACGGATATTTACTCTTATATAATGTCTGTGTTGGCAATAGTTTGAAATGTATTTTCCCTCCGAGGAACAACAACAAGTACTATGGCAAGCCAACTTAACATTTATTCAAGGAGCAATGTCGATCCTGTATTTCATCGAATTATATAAGATATCTTATATAGCATATGATATATCTTATATACTATATACGATATCTTATATCGTATATAAGATATCTCATATAGTATATGAGATATCTTATATAGTATATGAGATATCTTATATAGAAATTAAATGAGATGCTATATAAGATATCTTATATGATATATAAGATATCTTATATCGTATATAAGATATCTCATTTAATTTTCTATATAAGATATCTTATATAATATATAAGATATCTCATATAGCTATATAAGATATCTTATATAATTAAAGTCTCGTTACTAAATAAGATATCTTATATAGGAACGAGATTTTAACAAAATGTCGAAAATGAAGTCTCCCCGTCCGGAATATCTCGAGGATCTACGTAGGGACAGTAGGCTTGTTGTAACAACACGTGTTCCTGTCGCCGCCATTATGTCTGAGCCCACTTCAAGAGTGCGGGAAATGGCAGCCTCTGCTTTGGCCGCTATAAGAGAGACAAGGCGAGCTAGGCCTAGGGAAAATACAGCATCCGTACCATCCCTCTCCGCCATTGCGCCCAATGCAATCCTGAATGTGCTCCGAATGATTCTCGAGGGAGAAATTAGTTTCTGGTTTTTAATGCCACGAAATCTCATTCTATATGAGATATCTTATATAGCAACGAGATTTCAATTATATAAGATATCTTATATAGCTATATGAGATATCTTATATATTATATGAGATATCTTATATAGAAAATTAAATGAGATATCTTATATGTGATATAAGATATCTTATATAGAAAATTAAATGAGATATCTTATATGTGATATATATAAGATATCTTATATAGTATATATGATATCTTATATCCTTATATAAGATATTGTAAATATAGCAGTAGTCGTCAGTTGTTTACGACAATAACGTTTACTTTGGATCGATTTCCGGCACCATGGTGTTAGGACGGCATGCCCCGATTTTGACACTTTTCAACGTAGACACGGGGAAATCAACTTGTAATGCAATAGAGATTAGAGAAACCATTGCTTAAATGATTAAAAACATACGGCTTAAGCTTCCTTCTGGAGTAATATTTTCATTGAATCGGCATGATTTCCTCACATGACGTGTCAAAGCAACCGTCAATATTAATGGAAGGCATGCTCGTTTATTTATCAAAATTTGTGTCAGAAAATGTCGGTAGGTTAACGGAGCCATGTAAGAGATGATTTTAATCAGATTGGAATAATCATTTTCATTTCATACACAGTCCTACAGTGTAATTTAGATAGCAATTGACTACCACACATGTTTTGTTATGACTAGAAAGCGATGGTCGATCTATTGTTTTCCACCGACGGGGGTGAAGCGAGGTGTGAAAATGTTCCCCGGAGTGGCCAGTTGCATGGTCACCTCGGGCGATGTACAGTTAGCTCGACCTATTGTTCAAATATCCTGGTGTCAAACACCGCCAACTTACCTCAGTTTTTTTATCTTGTAAAATCCATTCACGGCAGAAAATAATAGTGTAATAACGGGATCCAACCTTTGACCCTATCATTATAACAATTTGTTTTGCTTAGTTATAGGATAAAATCGGTACATAGGAAAAGAATTATAATAAGCGACATCATAATAAGTAGGTTCCACTCTAGTACACAAAAAACTCCTATAATATAGCAAGGATATATTTATAAAAACATAAAAACAGTAAATATAGAAACACTGCGTTTGATTTAAACATATTTTATTGCAAATACATATTTACAAAAGAATTGGACACAAGTTTTACCAACTTATCAAAGTCCTTTTCTTCAAATACATGAGTATAAACAATAACTTGATAAGGTAATTTACGCAATATACATTAATTATGTTTTTATATGGAAATGGAAAATAGAGACGAAGAAAAGAAGGAGAGCGAAACGAAGTAAAGGATAGTAACACAGATAGAGTAGATGAAAAATAGAGTGGAAGAAAAGACGGATAGAGTAATGAAGTAAATGATAGTAACACAGGTAGAGTCGGAGAAAAAAAAGAGTGATAGAGAGAGAAAGATGATCACATTCAGTCAAACCTGTTGCATTTGCTGATATAATTTTGGACAGATTTTGCAATTGAGGTATTTACATTAATGCTGAATTTAGGATCGCCATATAGGAGCAAGTCTAAAGTTAAATCATCACGAACAGGTTGAAGCTCTCTTATTAATAGATTACGATGCTGGGTGTATAAGGGACAGACACAAAGGAAGTGATAAGAGTCTTCACATGGATTACCGCATGCACATTCAGCTGTATTTGATAAATTTGCTCTAAATAGGTCATAGTTAAGGGAGCTCGCACGATTTCTCAAACGGCAATGAAGTATATTTGATTTACGGGAACCCCATACCAGAAAGCATTTATTTTGTGGTTTACCTTTTGATTTTATATTTGATTTAAATGAACTGAGAGAAGCCGAATTCCTTATAGATATATCTAGGTCATTCCACATTTTTGTAGTTGATGGGAAAAAAGAATTGCGCATTGTTTCAAGCCTAAAGTTTGGTTGTCTTAAATGTTGGGAATTTCTTAGGTTATAACGAGAAATATCCCCAATGCTATCTGGTAAGGTGTCACACAAATAATTAGGAGCTGTACCGTTTTTAATTGTAAAGAATAGGGACAATTTTCTGTTTTTCCTTCTATTACTTAGTGGAACCCAGCCAATTTCATTAAATATATGTTCAATTTTTGTGTAAATAGGTAGTCCTGTAACAATTCGTGCAGCATCTATCTGAATATTTTCAAGTTTTGATGAATTTGTCATTCCACAATTGTCCCAGACTTCACATGCATATTCTAATAATGGTCGAATGTACGTTAAATATAGTTTTTCAAGGTTATTTCTACTGAGTAACCATTTCATTTTACGAAGGGTTGCTATATATTTAGCCACTTTTTTGATAAGTTCGTCTACATGTTTATTCCATTTACCGTCGCTACTTAGTATAACTCCAAGGTGTTTGTGGCTATCTGTTAAAAGGATAGAAGTATCGTTAAAAATAAATTGGGGTTGAAAGGGTAGATTTGTATTAGAAACAATCATGATTTCGGTTTTTTTAGGATTGAAAGACATCAGCCAATTTTTAGACCATTTCTCTAGAGTTTTTAGGTCTTTATTTACTTCACTTACAATATTTTCTAGGTTTGGTGATGAGTATGAAAGCGACGTATCGTCAGCAAAAAGACGAGATAATGAGGAGAGTTCGGTTGAAATGTCGTTAATATAAATCAAGAAGAATAAAGGGCCTAACACTGAACCTTGGGGAACACCGGCGTTTATATTTCTTACAGAAGAATGGGAATCGTGAATAAAGACGGATTGCTTACGCTCAAAAAGATAGTTTGTTATCCAATTAAGAAGACTGCCTGAAATACCATGTTGTTGAAGTTTGTATAAAAGCCCTCTATGCCAAACTCGATCGAAGGCCTTTGAAAAATCACAAAAAGTAAAAGCTATATGTTCATAGTTTTCTAATGCTAACATCATAGAATGGTACATTTCAATGAGTTGATGCGTACAAGAATGATTGGGTAAGAATCCAGACTGAAGTTTGTAAATAAGATAATTAGAGTTAAAAAAGTTGTAAATATGTTTATAGACTACACGTTCAAAAATTTTTCCAACACAGCTTAATAATGATATTGGTCTATAATTCGAAGCATTATGAGCGTCGCCAGACTTAAAGATCGGCATGACGTTTGCTAATTTCCATTTATCGGGATATATACCATTGTTTAAGGAGTGATTAAAAATGAGGGAAAGGGGAATGGCAATTTCATTTGCTACAAGTTTTAACATTCGATGACTGATTCCGTCAGGCCCTGTTGCCTTATTTACATCTAGTATGTTAATAATATCAACTATTTCAGAAGGTATAATATGAATTTCGGACAAAAGAGAGTCTGTTCGTTTTTCTAAAATGGGAATAGGTTTGTTTTGGTCTACTTCGGAATGACTGGATACTGAAGAAAAATAGTTATTAAGAAGTTCACATTTATGGTTATTATCATTCGTGAATTCGTTAGCATTGTCATCAAAAAGTGGTGATATATCAGTAGTTTTGCTTCCTTTCAGTACAAACCTTAACAATTTCCAATATGTTTTGGGGTTAGATTTATTTTTGACTATGATAGAGTCGATATTTTCGTAGAAAAGTTCTTTTGCTCGTTTTATCATATTATTTGTTTTATTTCTTGATTGTTTAAATTTCGTCCTATTAAAATCATTATTATTATTTATAAGTATCTTTTTTAATCGATTTCTATTACGTATTTGTCTTCTGACAATATTATTGATCCAGGGTTTGTCATGTTGTCTAATCTGCACATATTTAGATGGTATGCATATATCTACAGCGTTAAGTATAGTGGTTGTCAGAAAATCACACATGTCATTAACGTCATTAAACATATTAAATTGGTTTACCCATGATATATTTGTGATAAAATGTTTAAGCTTTTCGATGTCTGTTTTGTCATATAGCCATACCTTTCGTTTGAAAACTGTTTGGGTTTGTTTCGGTACTTCAATTATTGTAAAAACAGCATTGTGGTCACTTATATTGTCGTCTATATTAATAACTTCAATTATGTTGGCTTGCGTTATCAAATTGAATAAATGTGTATCAAGTTTTTAACAAACATGTCTTCAATCCCTGTCTTGAACACACCCTTTCATGTTTCATTAGTACCACGGAATTAGATCTAAGTCCGTGTTAGTACTGATAAAATATCTTGTGATGTTCATGTTTGACAGAGTAAATATCGCACTCCATCTTTTGCCGTTCACTATCTGTAAACAGTTCATATATATTTGATATTATCAAATATTATGTGTATTACCAAATACGTATATATTACAATATATACGTCTCTACTAGTACTTCGTTTAATTTTACTTGTGTTACAAAAGCGGCACAAAATCATCTAAAATCTGACTGATTGGGTGAGTAATATTACATCTGAGGGAGATAAAGCTTTGTGCTAACTCACAAATATGGTTCGACCCTACAAATATCGTAGACCGACTTCATTCAAATCCGGCTGATTAGGTTAGTCCAATCTTCTACTAAGGGAGATAAGGTTTTGCAGAAATATAGGTAAACCGCGGCGGTGACCTTCGGCTACAGTTTGACTAGTAGCTAAAGTTATCAAAGCATGGTTAGCTTTACAGTTCTTTTGTGTTAATGTATTGGTACTGTCGATTTATTCTGTGACTATATACTGAAATGGACAGAGCACGTTGGAGAGAGTTTCTTAATTCTGCCGGAAAGAATAGTCTTATCAAGTGGTTTAATTTCAGGCTTATTTGCAGTGGTAATTGGTGTGATAAAAAGAAAATGTTAGTGACCCAAACATTGTGACAGGAACTGTGCACTGTAGTTAGGAGGAACACTACAGTAAGTAGGTCAGAGGAAACCATCCGCTTCGAGGAAGAGTTTGGGAAGCACAATTTCAGCAAGCACAGCATCGTCAAAACATCAATCAGAATATTTTTTATTCATTGTATACTCACAATATACACGCATTGTTGTATTTTTCACATACATATGGCTAGTTAAGAAAGTATCGAAGTGAATGCTTTCTCTGACTATAAGTTGGCGAACCACAAAATGGCGTCACTACGGTATGAATGAAAATGCTAGGGGTCGCTGCCAAAAATATTTGCATATGAATGAAATGTGAATGAATGAAATCCATATAAGGAGATATCAGCTACCATATAAGGACAGAAATACCATATAAAGTCATTCATGGCGTGTGTGTAGAAAATGCAGTTCCACATTAAACAAATTTCGTAGTATAAGCAATCCCCTAGACACTTGCGTTACCTAACGCATATGTCAAAAATACATGTAAAATAATAAAAATAATTAATAATTTCGAAAACCACCCCAAACAAAATTATGTTTTGTCTGTACACTAATTTATATAAAATATTACCCCCCAAGAGCACCCTTTTATTTATTCATAACCATATTTTTATCAGTGCCGTTTAATATAAAGACAATTTACGGCCACATTCGAGTACAAATCCACTTTAAAGTGTCTATTTGACGTACCGTTGCGGATTCACGGATTTCCGCCGCCGATGGGGTCACGAAAAGGGATGTTTACTTTGGTACAAGATATTAATCAGATGATTTGTAACAACAGGTACTTAGAATAATACCTTTCAAAACTTAAAGTGACATTTAAAAATATAATATTACGCTATATTGATCACAATCTAAATATTTATACCAACCCATGCCTTCGCCAAAGTTGAGGCGGTAGTAATATATAAAAATGGAACCGGGTTTAGAAAATCCGTATGCATAAACTTTTGTCGTTTTTTTTTAAAAAAATTAAATAAAATTATAATCTCATAACACTGTAATTAAATACATTGTTCATTGCTTATTTTTTCCCTCTCTGATGATGTTATATCAATAAAGTTTTTTTTTTAAACAAGTAAAAACACTGCAATAATTTTCCAATAATGTTTAGTCATAGAAATACAAAATAAATAATATCTAACTCAGTTACTCTGTAGTTGAAGTACAAAATATTGCTTGCATAAGCATAACCATGCATCATTGATACATAGCACATATTCCACATTGTTCATTATATTATATACACAAAATACAATGCTGATTTGTCAGTGTTCAAATTATCATTAATTGACCTCACATCAATTTATTATATATGATCCTCCCTTCCCCCTCACAGTGCAGGTTGAACCCCCGCTGTGTCAATTTGTCACAGTGGTGTGAATCTCTTGAAGTACTTTATGATTTGATTGCTGACAGGCTTAAAGTGGTAAATATAGCTATCTGGTTTAAAGTTATAAATATTCTTAACCCCCTTTTGCTCCATTACAACCTTTGTCATATAATAACCTTGCTTGCAGTGGCACATTGTGCCTCAATTTGAATACAAGTTTTATTTGTTTGTCATAATTTATAATCATTAATCAATAATAAAACTAATGAAATTATTTGGCACGCTGTTTTTCCACATATAATTATTGATGGTATTTTATGTATTTCCAAGACTTCAAGATTTCACGATTATTTATTCACTCCAGACACACATATCGTGTGTAACAGGAGGTCAATCTTAAGATATATTTTAGGTGTCTTCTCACCTAGCCAACATTTGGTATTTTTGTTACCTACAGGTAAGATTTTCATGTTGGCCAGGTGAGACTAGTGTTGAGTGCAGAACAATAGCCTTAATTACAGGTAATCGCTATAGTCAAACTCATAAAAGTAGATAACTTGAGACTATATAATATGTTACTGATCATTTATTTATTTACCTAACATTCTAACATAAATACTATGAAATACATTACCTATAACAAGTATAGGTAATATAGATATTAAAGTACAGCAAGTATTTAAAAGCAATATTTGGCACTAAAACATATTCTTATATAAAAAGCATATTAATCCAAAGAGATATACATCTGTAAAAAGTCAAAAACCTATTGCACATAAAAAATACATATTTCAAGAACTAAAGGCAATAAAACATGTTCTTATATAAAAAGCATATTAATCCAAAGAGAGATACATCTGTAAAAAGTCAAAAACATATTGCACATAAAAAATACATATTTCAAGAACTATTATGGCTTAAAAAAATGCATGTACCTCTAAAAGACAATTAATACATATAAATATTACATATATAAAGCACTAAAATTTTGGGTCAATCTTGAAGACCTGAGCTAAACAGTTTTTGAGATGCTGAATCAACTACACGTGTTGACCATATCATACACTATCTCAGTCTAAATGGAGTAAGTGGGATGCTGAATCAGCATACGTGTACACCTTAATATGTCCGTTCTGGAACCTATCCTTGAGCTGAGTAAGGCGCTCATCCAAACGTCGATACTTCTTCTTTCTTGGTCGTGATTTTCCTCCAGCAGACAGTTGAATCACCCTAACCTCGTCAGCAGCCTGTAATTTCTGGAGCAACTTCACAATCGCATAAATGTTCGGGTGTGCATGCTTGCACATCCTGTTCACTTTAATGTGCCATCCTTCTACATGATTAGCTGTACGAGGCCCTGTGTTGTCATAGTGGTTCCACAGGTCCAGCTGCTGTCCTTCCACCCACGTTTCTGTGACATAGTCCTTGAAACGGGTAACCTCTGGGCTGTTGTCCTCATTTTCATCAAGAGCATTGAACCAAACGTCTTCCACTTGTCGGGTCGGAACCAAGGGTAGGACAGCAGCTCTTCTTACCTTTACGGAATGGAAAACATACATGCAATACATTTTTGAAATTAGAAGAATTTGAACTATATAATTATTATAGAGGCTGCGATCTGTTTAGATTTGATGTAATTTTCGAGAAAAGCGGGAAGGTGGAACTTTTATGACTAATGTTAGATAATTACACTTACCAACTTTCTCAGTTCATCGTCCTGTTTGTAACGCGCAGCTAACCCACATCCCTGTGTCTTTCTCCAAATGCATTGCGTGTAATGAAAAAAACAGGCTTTCACTGTCGTAAGTGGGAACACAGCATTTATCGCGTTTCGGGCAGCTACTTCAGCTACCTAAAATCTACCTGTACCTGTATACATAGAAAAATTATAATAGAGATTAGTATATCTGAAACAGACTATAACTGAGGTTCACTCAGGTTGTAAAGATTGAAATGTTGGCCAGGTGACACTGGGTATTTTTCAAATGTTGGCTAGGTGAGAAGCAACCATATTTTATGATGACAGACCAACTGGATAGATGGATGCATTTTGAAGCAAATACACATATACAAAGCATACACACTAGGCATAACATAGCAAATCATAGCATGCATACAATACATATAGCATATATACATATAATAGCATGTATTTCCTAAACAAAGGTCAGTACACAGACAATCACATTAATATCGAACATAATCATTCCTCAATCTGTATAAACATTATCACTATATATCTATGCCCATCATTAATTAGTAAATATTTTGACACAAGCCTAACCTTTTTACCAAATTTTCTTGCCTTTTGTATAGTCATATTTAATGTACTATGTTATTTCTCGATAAATATAGTTTAAAATAAAAACTATAATTGACTTATATATATAAGTAACAATGCAAATGTAGAAGGAATATCACTGGGATAATAATGAAATGGGCTGTAAGACTTAAATTATTCGAAATGCTTGATTTTTTGTGTGTTGTTAGTGGGTCATTGGCAGTAACTATTTTTTTGTAAAAATGTTTGCTTTATTAGAATTAAGATGGTATTGAATAGTGTGTATTTTACACGAAATAAAATCTGTTAATGCCATGCTACAGTGAAACATGAGAATTCCTATACTGATTATTCACTCGCATTTAAACATACTTACAATCGATTTAAGAAAATGCCCCTCTTTATACAATTAAAAAGTGCATTAGACTTGTTCTCTATTAATTTCTGAATTCAAAAATATTTTCATTAACCAATACAATATGTCAACAATTTTATTTGCCTTAACATGAGGTAGCCGTCATACTCCAATTCTTTCAGTTTGTATACCTGTGTAGCCGAAAGGTGTTAAATCATCACCAACAGGTGGTAAGATTTTGACATTCGGCAGGAAGCCACAAAAGTCAATCCCCACCATTCCCCTCTAAGCTTACAATATCACTACAAAATGTGTTCACAATAATATCCTGACAATGCCTGGCAATCTGAGGGGCTGATACAATTGTTTCAGAATTAATAATTAGAAATCACTGTTATTTGGAGTATTATTACAATGATAAACACTTACTGTATCTACCTATATTGTTCTGTTATAAGATGTCAGTTGTTATTTGCACTGTCATTACCACCTGTTAACACATAAAAAGTCTTAAAAGGAAGACTGTTTTAGACCATCTTAAGCACATTAAGTTGAAACTCCAAGCACACACCATCTCACCCTGGACCAAGAAGAATATCCATGTGCAATTTGTAAGGAAGTTTGAGAATCCCCCTGCATAGAGTGTTCTATATGTACCTCTTGGGTCCACACAGCTTTGCGTACCTTTAACAGATATAGATGCACCAAAAGTCGTAATACCAGGCCGCATGCAGTAGTCGATAAGCGAGGTACCTACTTCTTGTAGTATATATATCGAGCTCGGCCTACCACTACGAAACAAATAATTAAACTTCAAAATGAAACTGAGACTTATAACACAAATATATTTATGTAACAACCGTTCATAACCATAAAGCCTGTAAGTCCCAAGGATACACAGGGTGGCTATACCAGGGTGGACTGCTACTCGTCCGCCAATACAGTGGTATATACTGAGATTCCAGGAGGTCTGGAGTCTCCTACTCTGTGCCCCACTCACATATCACATTAAATATCAACTAAACAACAATTAAAAACAAATAAAACTAAAACATGTTAAATGAGTATATCTATAATTAAGTATCCTACCTCTGTGGGGGTCTATACGTATACTACCTCTGTAGGGGTCGATACGTATCCTACCTCTGTGGGGATCTATAAGTATCCTACTCCTGTGGGGGTCTATAAGTATCCTACCTCTATGGGGGTCTATACGTATACTACCTCTGTAGGGGTCGATACGTATCCTACCTCTGTGGGGATCTATAAGTATCCTACTCCTGTGGGGGTCTATAAGTATTCTACCTCTGTGGGGGTCTATAAGTATCCTACTTCTGTAGGGGTCTATAACTATCCTACCTCTGTGGGTGTTATAAGTATCCTACCTCTATGGGGGTCTATAAGTATCCTACCTCTGTGGGGTCTATATGGAATTGGCAAATAACATCTACTTTGGCGGTTGCACCAAGGGAGGCTATACCAGGATGGACTGCTACCCGTCCGCCTATGCATTGGTATATACTGAGATTTGCGCCTTACTCCCATATCACATTAAATATCAACTAAACAACAATTAAAAACAAATAAAACTAAAACATGTTAAATAAGTATATCTATAAGTATCCTACCTTTGTGGGGTTCTATAAGTATCCTATCTCTTAGGGGTCTATACTATAATAGGTATCCTACCTCTGTGGGGTCTATACGTATCCTACCTCTGTGGGGTTAGTCCGAATTATTCTGACGTTTTATCGACTTTTTTTTATATCGGTCTGTCTTCGATTAACGTCAGAACTCCGGCCCTCTATAATATGCGGGAAATATGCGCCCCGCACCCGGGTCGCACTTCAAACTGATATTTTAGAAACAAGTCGTCACTTTCATACACATGTCTCACATGGATCGAAATATCTATTCTTTATGCACAAGATGAACATAAATTACTTGCCTCAAACAACCAATGCAATTACTAAAAACATATTTTTTCAAACTTACTCTGTTTTACTCTAGTTTTTTGATAGCTCCGCCTTCTAATGCCACGTGACTAAAATCTCGCCGGCCTACGTCATAACGCAATCGCAACTTCTCGGCCAATTCCGGCTAGGCGCGGAATCATACCTCGAATGTATGCCGGCGGATTGATACGTACAAAATCGCTACATTTCCTTCGCCGGAAGACCAACTCACTCATACTTCCGCGTCTCTAATGTCAACAAATATGGCGGATTTTAACACGTGTCTAGATTATGCAAAAGAAAAGCTGCAGGTTACACATGTATTGAAAGAGAAACAAATTGAAACGCTTAAAAATGTTTTCAATGGAACAGACTGCATAGCTGTTCTTCCCACTGGTTATGGGAAAAGCTTGATTTTTCAGCTTATACCGTATCTAATGCAGAGGAAACTGAAATTCGACAACCCGGCGATTGTTTTAGTAGTAACTCCGCTGAATTCTATTATGGAAGATCAAGTTTATACACTAAGGGCTAGGGGTATTAATGCATGCTTCCTTAATATTGCTGGTCAACAGGGGTTTACATATGATGATGATGATGATGATGATGATGATGCATGCAATGTAAATCTCCCAAAGTCGGTGTCTATACAGGAAATAAAGAATGTAGACTATCACCTTATATATGCTCACCCTGAATCTCTCCTGAACAGTAAAACCTTTTCAAAAGTACTCAGATCTCAACTCTATCAAGATAGGGTTGAAGCAGTTGTCATAGATGAGGTGCATATGATTTCAGAATGTTGAGAAAAAATAACAAACACACATATTAGGCAGAATATATAATTTTACAGGCAAGGGGAAACCAATAACGTGCATATCACACACAAATTTAATATAATACGCTAACTTAAGTATGCTTTTGAAAACGTTATGTTTAAAATGATGTTAATTATTTATTAATTTATTAAATTGGTCCAGTAGTTTATGAGAAGAAGTCAAATGTTAAAAAATGAATGCTGACAGGCGAGTTATGAAGGGCTCAGGTGAGCTTAAAAAACCTCTACATTCCTTTGATTATCACATGCTAACTATTTCCTTTTTCTATTCTAAATCAATTTATTAAACTTCATCCACAGGGGAGATAGTTTCAGACCAGCTTTTAAAAAAATGGGTGAAATCACATGTATTTTCCCTGAGGCTGCACACTTGGCACTTACTGCAACAGCAACAGACAGAAAGATAAATGACCTGTGTAAAATCCTGCAATATCAACATCTTAATGTGGTTTCTGCAAATCCGGATAGACCAAACATTTACCTTCAGGTGGAAAAAAGACTGCCTAACATACATAAATTTGAAAAATTGGATCAAATAATTGGGCCTATTACAGAAGACCTAAAGACACAGTTAGCAGGATTCCCTGTCACAATTGTTTACATGGGAAGTTTAGAGGCTTTGAGCTATTGTTATTACTACATTTCCTACCATCTACAAGATTTACAATATCGAGGTGAAAACATTCCAGAAAATAGAATATTTGGGCAATACCACAAAGATTACACTGATGACATGAAACGACATATTGTCACAGAGTTAACAAAAGAAAATCCAACACTTAGACTTGTATTGGCTACAGTGGCTTTGGGCATGGGATTGAATGCACCCTCCATTTCACAGATCATTCACTGTCGATCACCATCAGCACTGGAAAGTTACATGCAGGAAATTGGACGTGCTGGTAGGAATGGTCAGCCAAGCAAAGCCCTTCTCTACTACAACAACAGTGACATATCAAAGGCTCGCAATGATATTGAATGTCTGATGATATGATCAATTATTGTAAACATGAATCTTCCTGTTTACGTGAAATACTGGTGAAATATTTTGGATTTCAAAATGTCCTATTCAACAAGGCTCCTTCTGTTTGTTGCTGTAATTGTAATAAGACAAAACAGGACTGAACAAATCCATGTTGTCTTTAAGGGAAACTAATATTAAACAAAAGTAATTCATTGACAGGCAAATAAGTTGTATATACATAGAGAACATCTGCATTGATAGCAAACATTAACTTGACAACTGATTTTAAATTCATTAACAATAAATGTTCAACATTATGTTTTAAAAATGAAAGTATCAGTCTCATTTAAATCATTCTAATTTTGTAAGTACAATTTCTGTGGTTTACATCACTCATTTTCAAGGTCAGAATTATCAGCTGAACTGTCTGAATCATCAACAATAATAGGAGGCAGATTTCTTAACAACCTTTTCACAGTCCCCTGACAAATTCAAAAGGAGAGTGCATCACTTTCTGCTGCAGTTTACGTCCATCGTGAATTGTCCAAATGTCCAGTTTCTGCAATTTTGATAACAAACTTGTTGTGTCATCGGATCTTCTACGAACCTTATGACTGGTCTTCACAGTCTTAATTTTTGTTTGCTTGTCAAACATATCACAGACACTTTGTATTACAGGTGCTGCTTTGGTAACATTAACAATAGCTTGCTCGGTTTTGTTTGCTCCTAGACCACGGATAAGTTCTTTTAAAAACTTAACTTCATTTTCCTTGTGCAAGTCAGCTGCTTTGTTTTTTCCAATACCACCAGTAGGATTGACAATAGAAGCTGCTCTTACTTTCATTGACATCCTTGGTGACAGAATGTGTTCAGTTTTTAAAATGTAATCTATACATTCAGTAAGATATTTTGACAGGTAAGAGTGACTGTAGAAAAAGGTATCATTTGTTTCAAAATTATATTTATTCTGTCTATATCACCCTCATGCAAAGCGTCTTTCATTTGAAGAATAACAAAGTACCACTGCATAAAATTCACCACATAATTGTTCAGGTCATCATTGATGACACATGGTTTGAATAGTTCAAACTTCATTGGTACTGACACTCCTGGAATATTGATAACACATCCATGACGAACGGTATTCAATTTCAGTGACACAATAATCTTCTTTCCACTAATGTCTAAAATAACATTGACAGTATCATTGTCAATCAAGGGTGACTTTGTTGTGAAAATTGATGGTGGTTGTGTTAGAGCTGTCACAGTAATCTGTACATCATCATCTTGTGGCCCCTGAAAATATAAATGAATTATAAAACTTATTTCATATTTCTTTTTTAATAGTGAGTTAAAAATTGACACAACAAAAACAAATAAACATTATTTATTAACCAAGGGAGACACCCCAAAAAAGGATGTGTTTATCTTATAACTTCTATACTTTTTATGTTCTTCCATTCAGTAGGTACCATCTAGACATGAGAATAATACAGGTTGATGAGCAGACATGATAGTATTAATTCCTTGCACAGGGTGCTGACCCTCCAGTTATAATCTATTTCAGTCACTTGAGTAGTGTATCCATTCTACATTTTTTTAAGATTAAGCAAGCAAAGGTTAATTTTGTTTTGTGAAATGAAACTGACATACTTAACTTTAAATGTATATTTTACTGAATTTATTTTTACTTATAACAAAAAGATGAACATGTACTCGCCAATTGAAATGGTATAAATATTTCTCCTACAACTTCATCCATAATTTTGTTGAAAACTTCCAATTTTTTGGCATTGACAAAGTTGTTGATGTTCTCGGAAATAGCAGGATGTACTGGCTTCCCTTCTACACTGTCCATGCTAAAATTTTTCAGTAAGTATGCCATGAAGTAACTGTTTCCTCAAGTCAACACAAAGTCTTCATGACCCTGCAGTAAAGAAATAGACAAAATTTAATAAAAAATGTAAACAAGAGTAATCCCATTGTACGTACATAAACTTAAACCCTTAAAGTTTCTGTCACAAACTAAATAGCATATTCATATAACTGTGACATCTATTTCATGATTTTAAAATAGTAGGTTAGTGACCTAATTTAGCATACACTTCTCTCCTACATGCTCTATTAGGTAAGGTATGATGATCCTAGATTAAGTACTGTAGGAGATATGAGCCAAACAAGGTTTTACTTTACTATGTTATAGTTCTGAGAAAGTAGGTCACAGTGACCTAATTATGGTACACTGCACTGCCCTAGATGTTACCTCGCACAAAAGTTCAAATCCCTAAAGGTCTCTTCACATACCCAAAGATACAAATATGTTCCGATTCATTATCATAAGAGTAGAAAATTTGAAGAACTATCCAAATTTACAGATAGAAGTGCATACATGTACATGTATATGTATGATGATCTCTGATCTAATGGACAGCTTAACCTCAGTCATTATGTTTTATTTTGTTTTACCTTGAAACGACTCTTGACTTTCCCATTAACATTTGTTCGCTGAATCTGTACTTTCAAACTGGCTAAAGTTCCTGCATCCCTACCTTTGGACAAATTCAGGAATTTCTTGCACATCTTCTGTAATAATAAAAATTGAAATTTTCAAAACAAAATTTCTTTACATAAGCTGAGGATCAGACCCTGATACACATAAGTGGTGCAGAATTATGTCAGGTAACATATGCCAATGTGAATAACAAAGATGTACAGGGTTGGTAAAACAGATATTTTACACACAGTTGTACATGTACATAAGTTGAGGACCACCAACATATATGTGGATATGGATATGGTATGTTTCATGTATTTTTTCTCTCTTCACATTCAGTGATTGTTTAATCAACTTAAATCATCTATATAAATATAAATAATCACTATCATTACATATATATTTCTGTTTTCCTATGGCCTTTTGTATTCCTTCTTATAGTATAAGTAATGTGTTAGACATGTTATGTTTAATTTGAAATAGTAATATACAGACAGGATGATTAACTTTAAGATATGGATAAGGTATTCATAAGTCTAAGTAGTAATATGTATGTGTCTTTGTAAATATATGAACACATATATAAGATAATATACTGTTATGGTTATGATCATATCAATATTGTAAAGGAGAAAGCTGGGGCCCCATCTCCAGTACTCTTTGCTATTTTCTGGGATAATAAAAAAATATCATTCAGTGTTCTTGTTAAGGCTGATATAGATGAAATATAAAATATCATAGCAACTTTTTTCCTCATTCAATCAAAGAGTGTACATATACGTACCTCCAGAAAATCCTGAAGTACATGAAACATTTCTACCACTACTGGGTACAGTCGTTCAAATCTCTGTGCTGCAGTGTGTGCTCCAGCTCGTAAACCCTTAGCACCTTGCAAACGAACTCTTGTGAGCTGGTCACCTCCAACAGGGATTTGTAGATTGTTCAATTCAGCTCCTACAAAACACAATTTATGTACAATCATTGTGATCTAATCCTTAACTTATCTAAGTAAGTTGACTATCATATATAAGGTTAATTCATGTGAGTTACCATTAAATAATAAAGGAATACTTGGGTGTAATAAGTAATGCCCAATTCATTCCAAATTACAAATGATTGTCAATTACAATTAGTCTGCCTCGGATCTCAGAAAAGAGGCCTGGAAAATGGTTCTGTTGGCAAAATTTGTTAATGCAAAACTTTTACCACCAATGTCTTGTATGATATCTAGGTGGATCATTCAGACCGGCTGTCGCCTCTTAAGGCTGAAATAAGGCTAAAAAATGAGGTCAAAGGTCAACGGGTGCATTTTTTCTTTATTTTTGCTGTAATAACCACATAGGGTTGATTTTTCAATCTGAACCCTTTTACTGTGTGTTTTTACATTACTCGATCTATAAAGAAACATAGCACATCTCAAAACAAAATTATTATTTACATATAACATATAAATCAAGCACACTTAGTGTGAGCTAGATACGTATTTATCGATAGTTACCTCCCTTACATCCAAATTAGCCATTTACCATTATGTTTACCAAAAGCGCAGGGCATGTTTACATGCGATTTATATGGGTATTTGCCATGAACAGGTATGTCTTTCGATCCATTCTATATAATATTTCGGTATTAAAATTGAACCACAACACAAAGAAACACAGGTATATACAATGTTTTGGTTGTATTTATAGTAAGATGTCTGACATTATGGTTAGACATGTTTACAATACATCAAATACTTTATAGTAAAACAGCCTTCCAGGGTCAGTTGAATTTGAAATGACACATAACGGATGTTGTACTAGTTATCATATTATATTTGTGAGTTTAATTATCCCGATTACAAATATGAACTATAACCAAAACCAGTTTCTAATGATTCATTATGGGGATAAAAAATACAACGATTACTTCCCTTCCTTTAGATCTATGTTTACATGTTAAGTACTACTGTTCGCTAATTTTCAAGATAATTGTTATAATGTAATCATAATAATGATGATCGACAATAAGCTGACGCTCCTCAACCTACGCGTATCAACGTTCAAGAAAATCTTGTTAAAGAGCAAATGAAAGTTATTGCTTCTCTTGATCTTTGGTCTAACAACAAACTCCCGAATCTAATGATGAAACAAAACTGGTATCTGTAGCAACAAAAGACGTTGCTTCAGACGAAATCACTTCCGATCTGTTGACTTGTGAAAAAAGGGGTCGACAATTAGTTGTAGAATTTGCAGTTAACCGACTGAAGGAGAAAACGGTGGAATTTATCGCACCAATTAAAAGGGTCAAATCAAAGACATTCTCTGATTTGTACAAAAAAACTACACCCGATAGGCAGAAAATGACGAAGCTAATAAGGGCCGACAGGAAGTTGCTACAGCGGCTTTTCAATGCCGCAAACTCGGGACGATCTGTCCAAACTGCTGAATTGTTACAACATGCACATGGCGCCTGTTCATCTCTTTTGGTCAATGCCGACCACTTGTCCGTTCAACAAGAAGAAGCCGATACGCGGATTGTGATTCATGCAAAGGATGCAATTACAAGGGGATATGAACGAGTGGTTGTTCAGTGTCGTGATACAGATGTTTTGCTCCTACTAATCTACCATTTGGGCTGCGAAATTGAAACATGGATGGTGTCTGGAACATCAAAGAACAAGAGGTGCTTTCCGGTACATGTTATATCGCAGAAATTAACTGCTGATGTAAAAGCAAACATTCTCGCATTTCACGCTCTGACAGGATGCGACACCACGTCTTCCTTTTCGGGAATAGGTAAAAATGCATGTTGGAAAATGTTTTGTGAAGACCCTGTTCTTCTATCTCCTATTGGCCACGATGGCCTCGGTAATGTTGAGAAATGCATATGTGGTCTTTATGGATGCAATCCCGAAACCCATGAACCCAGTATTGATTTCTGCCGATACCGACTATTCTTAAAAGCCAGGAAGTCTTTAGAGCTGCTTCCGCCAACTAAAGATGCATTCGCGTTACACGTTAAGAGAGCAGCTTATCAAGCAATGATCTGGAGGAAAGCAGCTGATGCAGATTTCGAGCCAGAGGATCCAACAAATATAGGCTGTGGGGTTATAGAGTCGTGTGTACTGAAACCAGTTTGGATGAGCAAACCCTCGGTACCTGTCTCCTGTTTGCAGTTGGTTGCATGTGGATGCACTACAAAATGCAGCACATCAAGATGCAAATGTTATAAGTCTGGGCAGATTTGCATGTTTGAATGTAAATGTGAGGCATCAGGATGTGCCAATCCTGTTGGGAATNTATGTGATTAGGAACAATGCTCTTCATCCAATGAAACCCTGGCAGAGTCATCATTTCCTTTGCCAGTAGTAGTTTGAGAGTTACCTTGAAGAGGTCTGTTTCCTTGTCACTAGGAATAAAACTTTGGACGGGCACATCGTCAATGTGAGGAATATCGGAGTTGAGTTCTTTCAGATTTACACGATCTAAAGTAAAGTCACTGGCAAAGAAATGATAATCTTTATCATGGTTAGTCATCCTTATATCATTTGTTTGCACTCTGATATCCAAGTTGTCACCGTTTAGTTTTCCATCATGACCTTGTGCCAACTCCTGAATAAGATGACTCTCACTTTCTTTACCAAAGCTTTTAATGATGTTTCGTTTGGAATCCTCTGTTAAAGTAAGATGGATCTTGTTCAGTCGAGTCAGTAGCTGTTGAGAAATAAATGATATGTTTACATCTTAAATTGATAGCACTACATTTTAACTCAGTATTGCAGTTAATCACAATTGTTACATGAAATTTTGATACTTTGAGATTTCATTTATAAAAACCATGATTTATCTTTGACTTAACCTCTTGTCAATATGTATAAACAATCATGTAGATAAAAACAAAAATCCATAAATGTTATCTCCACTTATGATCATTTCACTTTGAATTTTTATCACCTTATTAATATCTATAAATTTTCATTAAACCATAAAATATATACATATACTTTGAGATTTCATTTATAAAAGCCATGATTTATCTTTATGACTTAACCTATTGTCAATATGTATAAATAATCATGTAGATAAAAACAAAAAGCCATAAATGTTATCTCCACTTATGATCATTTCACTTTGATTTTTTGTCACCTTATAAATATCTATAAATTTTCATTAAACCATAAGATATATACATATACTTACTCAAAGCTGAAAGCATATAAGCAAGGGAAAACAGAGTTTCTGTCATACTGTAAAATAAAATAAAATAAAACAAACTGAACACAACAGATTAAACATCAACAAAAGTTTGTTAGTAGACATGTAATAACAAAAGGCCCATGGGCTGTGAAGTGCTGACCTGATTGAACAATGCGTATATGTTGAACTTTTACCCTAGAGTGTACACATGGCACTGTGCATGGAGCCAGAGGACCAAGATCTAGTCACATCACAGAAATATTGATGTTTTAATTGTATGCTAGTAGTAAAGTCAATATATTATTGCACACAATGTAGTCAAAAACTAATGTAAACCCAATTAAAAAACTAATAATCTGGGGATATGATTATCTGTATATGAATTGATATATAGATTCACACACACACGCATACATGCAAATTTGTGTTTATTAAATATATTACATATACCGGTGACACCGATACATAGGAATTCTTTGAACAAAAACTTCAAAATAATCTGTTAGTATTTAACAATCTGATGTCCATCTAGATCAGCACTATATATATATATATATATGGGGCAAAGAAGTAATTCCATCAGTGTGGACAAGTTTAGGTATATATATATATAGTCCCAAAAGCAGCATTCCATTATATATTGACATTCTGCTAAAGAAACTCTTATAATAATCTGAAAATGATAAGTCCTTAACTTCAGTATAATGATTTGATTTGATTTAAACTGTTCACCCTTCTGTTTATATAATGGTTATATATATAAACATCAAATGAACATATTGTATTCAGTCTGGTACATACAAGTACTGTCATGAAAAGTAAACAATAGTGTGTGTTTTGTTTCATTGGGGTTTAACATCCCTTCAACTCATGTCTAGGTCATATCAAGATGATGTCTGCACTGATGGCAACTTTACAGTGCTGTCTCACTGAAATATCACATTGCAGACACACTGACATGATATATACTTCACTCATCAAACTATCCTGACACCGAGCCAAACAGTCCTCTTCTTACCCAGTAATGTTGAACACTTAGCAGGGAGCGAAAAGATTGCCTAATTTTAATGTCATGGGATTGATGTGGCTGAGAATCAAGCCTGTGCCTACTGGATCATGGGATGAATGCTCTACCTATGAGCCACCGCACCGGTAAAGTGAACAATTAACCTGAATAGTGGATCAATAATAAACAGCATATCACTGGATTTAACTTTTAATTTAGGCACTGACTTTGAAACAAAATCATGATAATCACACATTCAGGAAGAGAGCTATAATAAATTTCACATGTAGTCTAATATAATCATTTATATTACTATGATTAAATTCAATATATATCAGTATAACTGATAGTTATAATATTGATACACTAATTGTATATTATTTTTTTTCATCAAACAAAATAAACATAAACATAACACTTTCAAAAGAATTCCAAGACTTCATTACTCCTAATCAACCAACCTTATTAATTTTCTTTAGGTATCTATAAATTCATAATAAATTGTTGGTTGTTAATAGCTAGATTTGAATATTTATTTATTGTTTTTAAAATAACCTTTGTTGGTTTGTAAATGACAATTTTAGATTAATTTTAAAACATGTCTCAAAAGATTATATTTTTGTAAATTAATTTTGAATTCTAGCATATTATGATATTAATAACATTTTTTTTACTAATCCTGAAATTCTGATGATTAAGATAACCATTGTAGACAATGGTAATCAATGTCTTGCAATTCCCATCTTAAACAGAGAACTGTTTATTGTTGAACAACTAGAATAACATGTATACCTTATTATCTGCATGGTACCTCACTGCCATTGTTGTATACAGCCTCTGTATCCCCGACACCTGGTTGTTTCTGCTATGTAGTATCATGCCATAGATTGTTGAAATGGTGGCAATCTTAGACTCAAACTTTATCTTGTTGCCTAAAGCACATGTTAATGTTTTTAACAATTCAGGACATTCCTTTGATATCTCTTGAATAATATTCTCAAAAAA